CGGGGCGCTGCCAGGGCGTGGCACCTGAAAATCTGCAGCAGCGCCGCTGGCAGCGGGGCTCCTGGTGATGGCGTCCGGCCCCATCCCTGCCGGCCCGTCTGCGTGGGCAGCGTCTGTCCCCTCTCTCAGCGCCTCCGAGTGGCACCGAGCTGTCGGGTCCTGCGGGGGCAGGCTGGCGTGAGCGAGGAGTCATTTGCTGGCTGTGCCGCGGGGCGCGAGTTGAGTCCGGCAGCAGCGACGGAGGGTTGTCGCCATTGCCGTCTTGCCATCTCCGGCGTGTACGAGGCTCTGCCGGCGTCTAAGGGTTTTTTGTGTGTGTTCCCTTTTACTTTCTTAAGTACTCCTGGTATACCTGCAGGCAGAAGCAGCATGCGTTTATTGGATATGTATGTGTAAACATGTACAGGAGGAGCGCGTGTGTATCTCTCTCTCTCTCTAAAAAGATGTGTACGTGGCCCTACTTTTCCTCTGGTGCCTGGGGACTTGACTCTTTGTCTTTTTTGAGGTGAAACCCCAACCTCCGCTGAAGAAAATTATGCGACAGGCAACCCATGTTCCTTGTCAGGGTAATGCCATGAGCTATCACGAGGCGTTTTACTCCTGCTGATCCCCTGTGTATTTTAGTGTTACCAGAGTTTTGCTTGCATGGAGGAGTCATACTGGCTACATTGAATGCTTACTGAATTGCTGGGAGGATTACATTCTCTGAAGCGTTTCATGGTTGTCTCTTCTTGCTGAGTAGCCAAGAGGATTATATGCTGCACTTAAGGCTTGTTCTGCGTTGCAGCAGTACTAAGCCATGGAGGAGAAGACCAGGTTTAGCTGAGTGGCACTGGTAGACCTTGGGATATCCTTCGTGGGATATTCCACCTTCCATCAGCCAAGTGCAGAAGGATGATTTCCTAGATGCACACAGACCCTGTCTGTGTTCGGATGTCTACAGGGCAGAAGCTGGATTCGGTCCAAGCTGATTGTCCCAGGGCATCTGAAAAGTCAGTGGAGAGAACAGGTATCGTCAGCGAACCATTCTTCCTTCCCATTTTCAGATAAGGACAGTTATTAGTTGGAATTTCTGCTGGCTTGACCTGCTGTATTGATTGTGTCTGGTTCTAAAAGTCAAGCTAAAAATAAGGAGTGGAGTTTCTGAAGTAATCAGTGCCATTAAAAAAAAAAATCCTAAATTATTTTCATGACATTAGTTTTAATGACACTAAATTCTTCTGCTCTGCCTGTAGATTGTGCACCATGAGGAAGCTTCCTTCTGTTCTGGCTAGGATGCTCGCTTCTGGGACCAGTGGCTCCTCAATGCTTCCTGACATGGCTGAAGGTAAAAAAAATGGCTGTACATTGGCAGATTTAGAAATGTTCCTAAGGAGTTTATTCTTTCAGGTGGTGGCCCTTCATGTGTTAATATGGTTTGGCTAATGGACATGCCCTTGACTGTTAGCTCATAGTGTAAGTGTTTAGGAAGTAGCAGAAAATAACTGTGTGTTTGGAGATTAATGGCAATAAATATGCATAATCATTGAAGTTGCAGATTTAGGGGCTTATCTGGTTCTTTAGTCTTGGGAGGGCATGTGATTCTTTTCTGGAGGGACAAGTGCTTCTGAAGTTGGCTCAAAGTCAAGGTAGTACAGACAGGTACTATGATGACTGGAGAGAATGGCCAAGAAATAGAGAAGCTGGGTGGAAAGAATTTCTACAGAACTTTTAATGTGTTAGTACCATTGATTTCGTAGAGAAATCTTTTAATCAGATCAGCAGCATTGCCTCATGAAAATGCTCTTGTCAATAGAGCTTTGTGTTGAAAGATTGTTTTAGCGTTCTAATAGGAATAAACTATAATGCTCCTGTTTCAGAAGCTTTAAAAAAAGTTTTCCTGCATTCTAATCCCATGTACTGACAAAAGGGGAGGAGGAAAAGGGCTGGAGCCAGTTACAGATAATTCCTTCATGGAGTTCTCCTTGTTTCTGAGATCTTCTTTTCCCCTTTGTTCCCTAAATAGAAATCCCAGGTTATCCAGTGAAAGAGAAGATGAGGGTTCTTTGTTGTTAGAGAAGTTTTTTTAGTTATTATTGATAAATAGTAATTTGGGAGGTTAAAGGAGAGAAGCAAGGATACAGAATATTGCATACTTGCAAATACTACCCTGCTCTTTTATTTGGATATTTGATGATGATACCACCTAGAAGGCCAGTAAAAATAGTGAAGCAGTAAGGCCATCCTGGCTTTGCCTGTGATTTGTTTCCAAGGAATACTAATTTTTTTTTTTTACTATAACAACTGTAAATATTTGGGAATCTGTTCCAAAATTGTAACATCTAAATAATGTTATACCAACTTTTGCTGATATGTAAACTAATTTCCTTTAATTTGGTATCCATGTTTTCACAAAACACCAAATACTTATTCTTACTAGCTGTTCACATCCTTCCTCCCAACTTTGGGTCCCAGTTATAAATGCCCTCACTTATTCCATGGCTCCTCCAAAGGCACACCAAAGCAGGACTTCGGAAGTTTCCTCTGAGATAACTCTCATCCTGCTTCCTGAAAACTGCTCCAGATATTCTTTCCAAAGTTACTTGTGTTGGTCAACAATACATGGTAGCACCACGTTTGAAAAACTGATTGGAATTACACTTTAAGCAGATGCTACCCAGAGCAAGAGAACAAAAGAACTGGCATGCTGGCTTTGAAGGAAAGGACTAACTTCGTCAAAAATACAAAGATACTGTAAATCAGGCAAGGACAGGTTGCCTACAGTTGCTTACTAAAATTAAGGAACATGTGCGTAAATGGAACTCAGGCAGGTAGAATAATGAGGTAACTCCTCAGCAGATGTAATTTACATTGTTTCTTTTAGTTGTTAATCTAACCTGTGTTTTCCACTCCACAGGACACTTACCCATTCATGTGAATAATGGTGTGTTGTGGTAATTTGTACATATTTTAATATTTGCTATAACACTAAAATTACTCGGCTACTGTTTTTCCTTACTTTAGCATTCATGAAAAATGAAATGCTATTATTCTTCTCTATCAGCTTGCTTAAAGCCTCTTTGCCTTCCGTGAGTGGCACTGATCTTATTTGTGGCAGTATTGTTGTACTAGATCTCTGTCAGCACACCCTGTTTCTGGTGTTGTGTTGGATTTCTAAGGGGCTTGTGGGATACAAAATCTCTCACGCAGCAACTCCTGCAGTACTTAGCTTCATTTTAGACATTTGAATCTGCGTCTTTCACTGAAGTCCAGTCCAAGCCCTGTACCAAAACTGGTGGTAAAATACATCCTAGCAGTCTACCTGAACCTGGATACAGCCTGGGGAGGCACCGGCAGAAGAGGGCATGGATCTTATTGGCACAGATGAATGCAGTGATCTTGTCCAGCTGTCCTCGTGTCCTTCGTCACAGCACAGTACAAATAAACTCGGGCCCTGCTGCTCCGGCATTAATGATCCACTGATGACAGTGTAGGAGATACTGTGAAATTTGCAACATGATAATGATGGATAAACCCCATTTGCTGTAATTGTTTTGGACATTTAAAACATTTGCCAAATAAGAGAAAAAGTTTATCCATTTTTAGGCCTAATTACTTACTTAAATTTCTGTTGTAAGGTAACTAATATCTGAAAGAGCAATATAGTTTTCCCGAGGCAGGGGGAAAGTGAAAAACTATGTACTTATGAGCCTGTAAAATGGACTAGATTTAGCTTGGCAGCATTTTAGAAACACTTCTATGCTTTGTCCCTTTTATTGTTAAAATAAAAATTGTGTGGTCTCAGCCTGGGAAATGTTTACTTGTATGCCTAAAATTGAAATCAGAAGTATTAAATGGGACTAACAGCGTATATACATGTTTGCAGGCTTGGACCCGAGATTTTTTTTCAGAGCTTTTTACCTCTTTAGAGTTGAAAAGGAAGATGAACTTAGTTTAAACATAAAGTGCTGTTTATTCCCTTTCCATCCCAGCACAGTCTGCACACTGTTGGAAAATCAAGGTTTTGTGTTCTAGAAGTTGTAACAGTGTTTCTGCTAACACTGTATTGATCAAATGCATGCTATGGCAGCTTCAGAGGTGGAGTATGAGTAACAGGAAAGTAGTACCTATTCTGTAAACAAACCTGCTGCTTCTTAAGAAGAAAAGAATCAGACCTTCCCCCCTTCTAAAGAAAATCAACTCTAAGAGTTTCAGTCAGTTTCTTTCACTCAAAATTTTTTTGTTCTTAGAATTAGTAGTGGAACTTTTACTGTTTCAAAACATGGTTTTAGCTTAATTTCCTAAAGATGTGAGGCCTAAGCAATCTGTTTTGTCTTTGTTTGACTATCTTCTTGTCCCTCTCTTTTTCCAGAAACTTTTGTTGCTTGATGTCAGCCAAAATAGGCGAGCACAAATCTGGAAGAGAAACGTGTTCCTCCAAGCTTTGTGAAAATTTCCTTCTGAATCAGAGGTTTGTTAGGGTGCCAGAGCTAGTGTTGGGGTCAGCCATGGACCATGGTGTTTGCTGGCAGTTGGCGAGTGACTGGATGTCGTAGTTTAACCCCATTAAGCAACTAAGCACCACCCAGCTGCTCGCTCACTCCCTTCTGGTGGGATGGGGGAGAGAATCAGAAGAGTAAAAGTGAGAAAACTCATGGGGTAAGGTAAAGACAGTTGAGTAAGTAAAGCAAAGCAAACCAAGGAATTAATTCACCACTTCCCACCGGCAGGCAGGTGTTCAGCCATGTGCAGGAGAGCAGGGCTCCGTCATGTGTAATGTTTACAGTTCCCAAGAAGACAGACGCCATCACTCTGAACATCCCCCCCTTCCTTCTTTCCACCAGCTTTATACACTGAGCATGACGCCATATGGTATGGAATGTCCCTTTGGCCAGTTGAGGGCAGCTGTCCTGGCTGTGCCGCTTCCCAGCTTCTTGTGCACCCCCAGCCTCCTTGCTGGTGGGGTGGTGCGAGAAGCAGGAAGGGCCTTGACTTTGTGTAAGCACTGCTCAGCAATAACAAAGACATCTCTCTCTTATCAACACTGTTTTCAGCACAAATCCAAAACATATCCCCATACTAGCTGCTGTGGAGAAAATTAATTCTACCCTAGCCAAAACCAGCACACTGGGATCTATGTGCTGGCTGGCTGGCAGTCAGCCCCTTACCTACCTCTGGGCTAACCGCGGCTCATGCTGGTGCTTGTCTTGAGTGCAGGAAAAACAGAAGCAGGCTGGGAGCATAGGGACGGGAGCTGAGGGTGTTGCCGAGGAAAGAACAAGAAGGGGGAGGTTAGGGGTATCTCAGTGGTGGTGGTGGGGGGAACTTGGGCAGGAAAGCAGCAGAAACTGAAGTGGCTATGGGGAGAGGGGGTGCAGAGCTGAGTGGATCTGGCTGAGAGAGGGGGGTGTGATTGAAATATCTAGGAAATCAGGCTCTGCTTGCTCCAGGGTTCACAGGACAGCTTGCTTATCACTGTGAATACTCTGCCGGCATTTAGTTTGGAATGTGCCAAGCCTGATGATGTCTAATAAGTATAAAGGATCAGCTTGTGAGTCACCAGCAACCTTCTTTCTGTTTCACCATAAAATTTAGAGGTTTTTTGGTAGCCTTTCCTTGGTCTGACCCAAGCTATTTTGTCCTAATATTTGAACTCCCTTGTACAAAAATCTTTGTAAATAAGCAAGGAATCCCTGCTATCCAGTTCTCAACTTTCTTTTGTTCCGAGCCTGAGAATTGTTGATGCTTGTTTTCAGGTGTTTCCAAATAGCATACGTTCACCTGCCTAACAGTGATGGAGTAGTTTGATAGATTTGGTGGGACCTTAGCACACTTAATAGCTTCATCTGAGGAAAGAGTAGAAAAACTGCTTGTGCAAATTATTCTTGAAATTTAGAAAAAAACTTTTGCAGAGCTAGCATTAACTCTGATAGTGCAAATAGTGCTAGAAGCAATTTTATAGGCCTGTCTTCAGTGTTTTAACACTGTGTTCTTTGAGGTTGCTAAAAATTCAGGCTATGAGACCCTCCTAGCAACAGGGAATTGGCTGACATTACCTGCCCTTCATGGGTGGGATTATTTAAAAAGTACTCTCCTCATTCCTTGTCTCCCAGCTGCACTGTTTCTTTCTATGTTCTTTTATGACTTTCTGATTTTTCTTATTTCCACAGTTTGTTTGTGTTGAGGCTGAAATATTTGCACATGAAAGTTTCTCCATCTGATCTTGATCCACTCTTTCAGCTGTTAATTAGCATTGCAGCTGTTAGATTGCATTAACAAACACTCAAGATGCATTCTTTATTGTCTGTACACAGTAAGCTACAGAATCATGTTACTCAACTCATTATTGTGATACGCCTACTAACAGCATCAGTGAATTTGACCAACGTTTTGTTTCTGGGCTGCTATTTGCATGAATTTGCTTAATTTTCCTGTTCTGGGATGAGGATTGTGCCTTTTAGCACTAGGCAACCTCACGTTCATCTCCTCCTGCAGAACTAAGCTTGATTTGCTTTGATTTTTTTTTTTTCAGTGCGGAGCAGATTGAGGGATATAGTGGGAGCATCTACCAACTGGAGGTACAGTGTACATTAAATATATTTTACTTTGTTTGTGAAACCCAGTGAGAGCTCAGCACTCTGGTAGTGGAAGTTAAGAATGTTAGCTTGCTGACTGGGGAAGAAAAAAAGATCCAAGCTAAAAAGTAATGCAGACAAGGTTTCTGAATCATTACTTTGTGGATCAGAGACTTCTGAGATTTCTCTTGCAGAAGATCGGTAGCACCAAAGGAACAAAATACATGACCCTGATGCTTATAAGATTCTCCCATTAGCTTTGAATCTGATGGAAGTTTAAGAGCTCTAGAGTCTGACTGGAAATGTTATGTTGCTGTTACCTCTTGATTTACCTGTTGGTGGATTACCCACATGGTGGATTTGTCCTGCACTAGATTCA